ATAGATAGATAGATAGATAGATAGATAGATAGACTTTATTCATCCCATACAGGGATAGTGTATAGAAAAATTCCATTAAATCTATTTAAATAAACAGACTCACTGTGGAGACCCCCCACTGAGCGTGTTCCTGCCAGAACACCGTCCTGCTGACCTCCTGCTGACCTCCTGTATCCGTTCCATCGTCAGGTATGAACAACCGGGAGGTGCTGGAGCAAGTGGAGCGCGGGTACCGGATGCCCCGCCCCCAGGACTGCCCCCCCTCGCTGCACGAGCTGATGCTGCAGTGCTGGAAGAAGGACGCCGAGGAGAGGCCCACCTTCGAGTACCTGCAGGCCTTCCTGGAGGACTACTTCACCGCCACCGAGCCTCAATACCAGCCGGGGGACAACCTCTAAACCCCCCCCACTCCCGCCCCGCCCCCTCTCCCACCAGGGCTCAGGTGGACTCAGGTGGACTCAGGTGGACCCAAACCAAACAGACAGACCAACTGGAGCGTCCTGCCTTTGGCTTTGGGCTTTTCAGGGTTCCGCGCAGCTTCAGTTCTGCCGTCAACCCTCTAAAAAAAAAACCTCGCCTCTGACTTGCCTGCTGTCCGAACTCCAATATGCTAATTAGGGAACTTTACGGGTGGCCGATGGACAGATTACTGGGACCGTACTCATGCAATGGAACGCCTGTATTAACTGTAAATACCATACCTTAGTTTTAGTTTGGGCTGTCCGCTTCCGTTCAAGATTTTATTTTCTTCTTTGCAAAACGGTGATAATGGTGAACATAATTGAGGTAAAGAAAGTGGAGCCCCTGAACAGACACAGCTCCTCTGTGCACGGATCAAATGCTCCCGTTATTTTCTAGCTTGAATTGGAGGCACAAATACTGTATATCTTTTCTTATTTTCATAATGTGGGGTGAAACCCCCCCCGTCCAGGACGCGCTTCAGGCCGATTTGGGCCGTTTTTCGGAGCACGATGCAGCCCCTCATCAGCTCTTTTGGGTTTCCCTCCCTACCGCCACCCCCCCCCAGAGCTTCCTGAAGGCACAGCTAGTCAGGCTACTGCTGCTTCCATTTTTTTATATCTTCGGTGCACATTTGTGTAGATCACAGACAAGCATGAAAGGACTTTGCACTCCTGGCTCATTTCAGAAAATGGAGTCTGCGACCGTGGCGGGTAGAATGTGAAGGTTGAAGCTCAGGACGCGTCTGAGCTGCCCTCTGGAGGCCCGACGTCCAGAAGGTCCTTCTCCACCTTCGGTCTGGACAGACGATGCAGTTCTGTGTGTCCAGAAGAGCTCTGGGGACCTTCAGGTAGCAGCTGAAGACGATAGAATGAATGTGACAAAGTGAGATGAATCCAACCGCTAAGCTGATGGGGGATTAACGCCCATTGATCCACGCACATCAGAAACCCTTCAGTCCTCAGATCTACAGCAGAATCATTTTTAACTGTCGCTAACCTCTCTCCTTTGTATCTTTTAGGTCCTTTTTAACATCACTTGTTTCATTAATTCAGTGATTTTTGGCATATGGAATTCAGAAAAGACCAATAAACATTTTACACTCTTTCCAAGAGTAACTGGCACGTGTGTGTGCTTTAAGTGTGATGTGCTTGTGTGTGAGTGTGTGTATGTGTGTGTGTGTATGTGTGGGTGTGTGTGTGCGTGCGTTTGTTTGTATGTGTATATATATGCATAAAATGACATAAAACGACCAGAGGAGACTTTTAGACCACTGTTTTAAGATTCGTGCAAACTGCCAAAAGATTTGGGGATTTCAACCAGCAAACATCACATTACCTCAGTAATATGGAGAGACGTTACAGAGGCCTAGACCCTGGATAGATGAAAGTCAGGAAAAACTGAAAGCAGGTATGAGCCTCTCGCTCTTGGAGGTTTGAAAATTTGTGATCGAGATTTCATGACAGTAATGGTGCAAGTACACATTACGTTTTAGATAAATCAGGTTCCCCACCAAGTAGAATAACATAGTTCAAAATCACCACTTTTTCTGTCCTGAACAGAAGTCAGGTGGCATTTAGAAATAAAGATTCACAGGTGCATAGACAGAAAAACAGCAAAAATGATGTAACATTTATAAATAAGCCCCGAATGTTATGGTATTCTATATATATATAAAAAGATATATATGTATATTAAAAAAACACATTTATATATACATTTTTTTCTTCATTCTGGTATTTAGTGAATTTGACCTGATAGGATTTTGATTGTATTACAATGATTTAGTTTCTAATTGGATTGAACTGGTCTGTAATTTTCATGTGCCTGGAGAAGATGTTTATTGTGGTTTGGTGCATCGTTACCACCAGTAGATTTTCCACTTAGAAGCTGCTGTTTTCTGACAGAGATTTAGCCAAACTGCACCCATTCTGGGCTCACAGCATATCCCGATCATTGCAGGAGCAGTCCAGGTTCTCTACAAAACACACAGACGAAGAAGAAATCTGAGAAATATGCATCTATTTTTTAACAAAGAGGCCATAACTCATTAATGTCATTCATTCATTCCTTTTAATTTCCAGTCTCATTCAGTCAGACAGGTATAAGTCAGGTGGTGTGACTCCCCCTCCTGAGCTTTCAGAGGAGCTCTAGCTCTTGGTGTCAGACAAATCCCTCCTTCATATCCTCAAACGCACCGGGATGCACATGTGTGGAGATCCCTTTTACGTCTACGGCTCCAGGTAGGTCTGATTTAATCCATTTTAAATGGTGTAGCAGCAGAGCTAATTTATTCATTTCATTCGGTCAATAGAACTTTAGAAATAACTGATTGGCCGCCGTACAGGAAGAAGAGGAGCGGTAACGGTATTTTCTAAAGCGGGGACAAATGTTTTCCAAGTCGACAAAAAACTAAAAAGAAGCTGATCACACTTTTCTCAAGAAACGTGTACTTGCTCCTCAATTTGGACATTTGGACACCTTTTAATTTTATCTTCAATCCAGCTTTTTTCTGTGGCCCTTTAGCTAAAATTTATACTTTGATCAAATCGTATCAAGCCTTAGTCAGAGGCTGTCAATATCTGTGTTCAAGCACAGTCAAAAGAAAAAGATCTGCTGGCCAGTGTAAACACATTAGTCCCCAGCTTTGGGTATATCCAATACCTTGTCATTAGAACTGGCGCCTTATCTTCTTAATGTGTTCATTCGGGGAAATCGGGCCGACAAAAGCTTCTCCCTCCAGCGGGGCTCCTCACCAGTATTTGTCTTGTGTGCTTCCAATGGCTTTATTGCAGGTGTGAGCGGTGAATGAGTCATGGAGGGCATTGGCGTCACCATCTTCGTCACTGTGCAGAAGATCTACTATCCATTACTTTGTGTCTTGGGCATCCCAGGTTTGTATCCTGTTAACCCTAAGAAATATGAAAGTATAAGTTGGCAATGGTTGAATAACTATTGGAAATGTGGCACCGCTGATTTAGCCAAAGTTCTCAAACGGTGAACCATTGTGGTGTTTCTTTGGGGGTCCAGGGGGTTTTACCATTCAGTGTGTCTCTTTCTGGGTTCTGAAGGAGTGTCAGATACTGGAGTTATTGTTGCTGGTGAGTTTTTTTCAAATTAGTTCTCTAAACAGTAGGTAGCAGCGGCGTTCCCAGCAGGAAAAGTGGTGAATGCCCAAAATCAGACCTGAAATGGGTCCAAAAGAGTTTTAGTGTCTTGGAAAAAGACAACAGAGGGACTTCCATAAAGTTGCTTTGTCATTGCTGATGTTCCAGTCCACTGTTGTGAAGAAGAAGCTGAGGTAGGAGGCAAAGCTTTCTATTTAAAGCACTCACCAGAGCAAATATGACATCCCTTTGGCATTTGGGAATGGGAATACTAAATGCTGACGTTAGAAATAAAAGCCACATCACCAGATGATCTTTCTGAGTTTCTCATCCAGGTAGAATTTCCGTTTGTCAGGTGAAATTTACAGCTACTTGGTTGATGAAAGAACAGAGCAGAGAAAGTAAATGGTGGATAAAAAAAGATGCCTCTCTACATAATGCTTAAATGATGTTCCTTCAATGAACGTTTTTGCTTTCTTGTCTTCCCTTCTAGCAAACCTCTTCACCTTCTACATGATCTGTTTCCGTAAATGTGGGATGTCGCACAGTGCCGTCGTGTACCTGAGCTGTCTGGCCATCGTGGACACCTTCTACCTGGTCTGGGTCATCCTCATTGATCTGACTCTTACCTTTTGGATCGTGCAGCCCTTCTGGCACTCTCACCCCTGGTGCGGGATTCTAGGGTTCCTCCAGTACGGATCTCTTTACAGCTCCTCCTGGATCGTGGTGGTGTTCACCATCGAGCGCTTCCTGGTGCTCAGCAGCACGGCGGCCAAACGCCACTTCTCCCAGGCCGGGGTCACCAGACTCATCTGTGTGGCCATCGTGCTGGTCTCTCACCTGGCCTCCGTGCCCATGGGCTGGATCAACGTGGTCAAACCGGTCAACCTGACGGTGGACGGGGAGAACGTGACGCTGCTCCGGTGCCGCTACCGCAACCAGAGCTACGCCACGGTCATCGTGTGGGTGGCCACCTTCCTCTCCGGGGGCATCCCCATTGCCCTGGTCATCGTCTTCAACTACCTGATCGGGCACAACCTGTGCCGGGCCAGAAACCTCTTCACCAAGGAGGAGCAGCGCAGCATGCAGGGCAGGGGCCGGCTGAAGAGGACCGTGCTGCTGCTGGGCACCGTGTCGGCGGCCTTCGTGGCGCTCAGCCTCCCCCGCTTCGTCACCTACTGCCTCCTGAGGACCAGGCACAACCAGGAGAGCTTCAACCGGAACGACTACGGCCTCCCCATCAACGTGGCCGGAGACGCCGCCAACATGCTGCAGAACCTCAACTCCGCCACCAACTTCCTGCTGTACTGCGGCGTGAGCCGGGGTTTCCGCCGCGAGCTTCTCCGCCTGCTGGCCGCCAAGGCCCGGGTCCGGGAGCTGGGCTCGCTCCTCGCCCACACCACCATGAGGGTCTTCTCCGTGGCCAGTCCCGGCCCCCCGGCGACCGTGGTGCTGACCGGCCTCAGACTCACGGAGGAAACCCCGGCCAAAGCTCACGCCCTCCAACCGGAGCAGCTTTAATCCAGGGTTTAACCCCCCCACTAGGGTTGTCAAAAGTATCGATACTCAAAGAAGTATCGATACTAAAATGTTGTATCCGGATACGATACTCATTTTCAAAAGTATCGAAAACTCTATCCATAATATTATGTTAAAATAGTGGATGTTAAATAGGTTTGTACAATAAGTCCAAACAAGTTTAACCAAAAAATATTTATTTCTCACAATTATGAAGGCTGTAGGGTCAGGGTTAGGGTTAGGATTAGGGTTAGGGTCATTAATGCGGGCCACCAGTCACAATAACATCAGTAACAGGTCAGTTTGAAACCAAAGACACTAACCTGTCAAAATTCAGTTAAATTTTGGGGTCTTTGTTTTTATCCTTGTGGTATCGAAAATGGTATCGAGTATCAAGTATTTTCCTGAGTATCGGTATCGAGTTGAAAATTTTAGTATCGTGACAACCCTACCCCCCACATCCCCAGAGTTTTCCCTCATCTCACGGCCAAGACTCCCCTAGCATTATGAATCGGACTCTCAATCATCCATAGATCGTACATTTTATTTTCTCTTTTTTTTAAACAAATACTAACAAAAACAAAGTAGTTTGTTGTATGTAGTCTAGCTAGCAAATGAGAATGAGAAGATGAGCTTGGCCGTCCAACTTGGTCCCGATCTATAAAGTTAATAAAATCCTGATGAAATATAATGCATGTTTTAGCCATTCAGCCTATGTGTTGTCATTGTGTAACAGAACTGACTTTGAAGTTGATCTGGAACACAGTTGGTAATCAGAGGAACGTGTTGAATCGTGCCAGTTCGCTGACTACTGGCTTTCCCAAGCCGAAAAAAGAGACTGTTTTCATTGTGAAATAGTTAACCCTACAGAGCAACCGGCACCTGATTGGCAGATCTGGATTTCATTTCCAGTAAGATTTGCATAAACACGGTCACGGGACCTTCAGGCTTTGTCTCACACAGGAAGGGGAACACTTCCTGTTTGCCTCAGAACAAGTTTGTGCTGTGGACAAGGATTAGGAAGTTTTCATAAGGTGAGTCCAAACACATTTCTCTTTGTGCTCTCGTCTTGTCACAGTAGCATAAGACACACAGGAAGCTTTAGAAAATGTCACTTTAGTCTTAAGACACAGTTGACATAGTTTTAGAAGTGTGTTTCTGACCTTTGTACCAGTTTCTACATGGCCGTCTCACATTCCAGCCACAACAGGTAGAGCGGGTGTTCCACGCTAGCTGGTGCACAGTGCTACACCTGTACGGCCTCAACATGTCTGTCCAATCAGGGCAGCCCTGAGTCTTTATTTAAGATTCAAGTTTAAAATCTTTTTTTTTTTCAGATCCTCCTTTTCTATAAGTGTGAGTTTTTTATATTCACTCCTCGTCCTGTCAGTTCTTTCCTTTTTTTGTGTGGTAGTGTGTTGTTTGTGTCTTTTAACATGTCCTTTTCAATTCTTTGTTTTTCTTTTTCTACATAGAAGGCCAGAGAGAAGTCTCTAGAAAGAACCATGGATATGGCCAAAGGTAGGTCATTCTTTTTCCGGCTGATTGTGCTTCAGAACTGCTCAGTCGTCACGTGAAAGCCCAGTTCACGTTTGGCTTCTGCCCCCCAGGGCCGTGCCCCCACCGCAGCATTCCCGTGGAGGTGGATGAGAGGATGGAGTCCCCCGGCGTGGACCCGGGGGCCTGGCTCCCCCCGTGGGAGCTCTGTGATCACCAGAACACCAGCCGGGGGGCAGGGGCCACTGAGAGCCACTACCACCCAGATGGGGGGGCTCAGGACTTCTTGCGGCTGGGCCACAGGGACCTGGGGGCTGACCACAGGACAAGCGATCCCAGTCTGTCCGTTAGCTACTCCGTTGGGGGGGCAGAATCCTTGGAGCAACCCGGGCCACTCATGTCAGACTGTGACCCGTGCGCTCCATCACGATACCCAGCACCACGCATACCAGGTCAGAGCTAAAGCTGCCTGGGGGGGGGGGCTGACGGGTGCATGGCTCTGAGTATCCGAGCTAATTTGACCATTTTAGTTCAGGAAACGCATCACTACTTTTTAGTTTTGATTTGTCTGACAGGTTGAATTCTTGTTGCCTTTCCTGCAACAATTCTTTCCTGCTGCCCCCGTGTTCCTGCTCTGTTGCCGTCATAACTTCTACCATTATCATTAGTATTAATATCATTGCCATTTTTCATCTAGTGTTGGTGTGTTGGCTGCCTCTCTCTCTCCCTCTGTCCTTCTCTCTCTCTCTCTCTCTCTCTTGCCCTCTCTCTCTCTCACCCCCAACCGGCCGAGGCAGATGGCCGCCCACCCTGAGCCATGGTTCTGCTCGAGGTTTCTGCCTGTTAAAGGAAGTTTTTCCTTGCCTGTGTCGCCTAGTGCTTGCTCATGGTGGGAATTGTTGGGTTTCTGTAGTTAACTTCAGAGTAGGTCTGACCTGCTCTGTTTGGAAAGCTGTGAGACAACTGTTGTTGTGATGTGGCGCTATATAAATAAAATTGAATTTAATTTAATTGAATTGAATTGTTTACAGACAGCATTTTCACTAAAAGACGGCCAGGTTTAATTTTTGGATGGGGTAGTGGATGCTTTTCCCAGTATGCTTGTCATGTCAGTTAAAATAATGGCTTTTTGTGATTCGGGGGATGTTTCATGAGGCAATGCAAAAAGGGGATGACCGTCAGACTCACTGTGGTGGTCTCAGCCGGACCACTCCAGTGCAAACCACTTCTTCTCCCATCTAATATTACATTGAAAAAAAACTGATAACAAATGTTCAGTTTCTAAATGTGGAATAATGATAAGTTGTCCATGTTGGGGGCGGCACGGTGGTGTGGTGGTTAGCACTCCCCGCAAGAGGGTTGTGGGTTCGAATCCCGGGGGAACCAGGACCTTTCTGGGTGGAGTCTGCATGTTCTCCCTGTGTCTGTGGGTTCTCTCCGGGTTCTCCGGCTTCATCCCACAGTCCAAAAACCTGCATGTTAGGCAGATTGGAGATTGGGGAAATTGCCCTTAGGAGTGAATGTGAGTGTGAGTGGTTGTTGGTCCTTGTGTGTCTCTGTGTGTCCCTGCGATGGACTGGCGGACTGTCCAGGGTGTACCCTGCCTCTCGCCCGTTGACCACTGGGATAGGCTCCAGTTCCCCCCGCGACCCCATCAGGGAATAAGCGGTATTGATAATGGATGGACACTTTCTTATTGCTGCTGGTGTTGTTTGGTGTTGCTAACAGTTATCCAAATGAGGGATTTCCACCTGTTACAGCTACTTTTCTCTCTGCAGGCCCACCTGGAGAGCAATGGGGCTGTGCTCCTCATCACAACCAGAACTACTACCATCACAAGCATCCGAACCCTGCAGAGCAACACTGGGAGCGTCTGCCCAACCACCAACTGTTTGTTATTCTAGTCCAAAATCTTCACAATTGAAATAATATTCCGAATGCCCTATGTTCTGCATCACTGATGGACTGGTTGTTTCCTTTTTCTCTGCTTTTCTTTTCCAGGTATGACCCCAAAAACAGGAAGGTCCTGCATGGATCGGGGCCCCAGAGGGAGCCTCTCCCCAGAGACGTGATTCAGGAGGCCAGCGTGGATCTGTCCTTCCTCCCGGGCGCCGGCGCCGTCACCAGGGAGGTCCGGAAAACCGTCAGCCTACCCGAGGAGAGCAGTAAGGATTGGAACATCCCACCCGGAGCCCCTGGAAGCTTTTCCTCCTCTCTCTGTTTAACCCTTGTGTGGTGTTTGGGTCTGTGGGACCCGTTTTCATTTTTTACTATTAGAAAAAGGATACAATGAATTAATTTTTCAAACTGAGACTCACTGGCTTTGGCTCATTTTCTGTCAAGAACATATATCAGAATTCATATTTGATGACCACACACCGTACACCCCCCCCGACACATTTCTATTACATATAAGATGTCCAGGTCCACTGGCTAATAGAAGTGTGGAAATTGATGTTCTGTGTACCACACACACACACACACACACACACACACTCACAATGTTGCAACCTTGTGTGGGAACCCCAGGTGCACAAACACAAAAGAAACAGTTCCCACACATTGTTTGTCTGCTCTCATTTTCTGTCTATCTGCTAAAAATTGGGGGCGGGACCACACTGGTACAGCTTTGCCAGAGTGGTTTCTTATAACTGATCAAGAGGGCCAAAAGGTTCTCTGGAATTGATTTTGGATGAGAGAGAGAAGTTAAGGTTAAGGTAAACATCTGTTCAGTATTTTAATATAAAAGTGTTTTAATATAAAAGTGATTTTGAGGCATTAAAAGCCACAAAATGCAACGGGTCCGTCAGACCCACAAACACTGGCTGAGTAACAACAATATGAACACCACACAAGGGTTTAAGACGCCTCTCTCTTGTTACCAGGGAATCTTTTCATCACGTATTCAGTGGACACAGCCAAAGAAATAATCCCTTTCATTAGATTCCTGATCGGTCAGGGCTTCAATCCGGCAGTAAGTCTCACCTCCATCACACCTATGTTTATACGAGTTATCCAAAATGAATAGATGGATACATTTCTAAAACACTGCCTCTCTTCATAGATTGACATGTTCGATAATCCCATCAGAAGGATGGACATCACCAAATGGATGGACCGCTACCTGAATGATGTCAGTCTGAACGGAGACGTTCAGCACATTCAGATTCAGATCGTTTGTTTATGAACGCTGACAGAAGAATGTTCTGTGACAGAAATCGGTGCTCATCATCGTGGTCATCAGCCCGAAGTACAGAGAGGACGTGGAGGGGGGGGGGGACGACGAGCACGGCCTGCACACAAAGTACATCCACAACCAGGTATGTGGGCCCGCTGCTCCAGGACCGGGATCAGTTCAGGACCAGTTCAGATCCAGGACCAGTTCAGAACCAGCCCAGGATCAGTCCAGGACCAGAACAGGACCAGTTCAGGTCAAGGACCAGTTGAGGACTGGTCCAGGACCGGTCCAGGACCAGTTCAGGACCGGTTCAGGTCCAGTCCAGGACCAGGACCAGTCCAAGGCCAGTCCAGGACCCGTTCCGGACCGGTCCAGGACCGTTCAGGACCAGGACCAGTCCAGGGCCAATCCAGAACCTATTCAGGCCAGTTCAGGACCGGTCCAGGGCCAGTTCAGATCCAGGACCATTCCAGGACCAGGACCAGTCTAGATCCAGTTCAGGAGCAGTCCAGGACCAGTTCAGGACCAGTTCAGGACCAGTCCAGGACTAGTCCAGGACCAGTCCAGGACCAGTTCAGATCCAGAACCAGTTCTTCAGGACCAGTTCAGGACTAGTCCAGGACCAGTCCAGGAGCAGTTCAGATCCAAAACTAGTTCAGGACCAGTTCAGGACCAGTTCAGGACCAGTTCATATCCAGAACCAGTTCTTCAGGACCAGTTCAGGACTAGTCCAGGACCAGTTCAGATCCAGAACCAGTTCTTCAGGAACAGTTCAGGACTAGTCCAGGACCAGTCCAGGACCAGTTCAGATCCAGAACCAGTTCTTCAGGACCAGTTCAGGACTAGTCCAGGACCAGTCCAGGACCAGTTCAGATCCAGAACTAGTTCAGGACCAGTTCAGGACCAGGACCAGTTCAGGACTAGTCTAGGATGAGGACCAGGACCAGTCCAGTACCAGTCCAGGAGCAGTCCAGGACCAGTTCAGGCCCAGGACCAGTTCAGGACCAGGACCAGTCCAGCTCCAGTTCATATCCGGGACAGGTTCAGGCCCGGTCCAGGACCAGATCAGGACCAGATCAGGACCAGATCAGGACCAGTCTAGGACCGGTCCAGGACCAGTCTAGACCCGAGGGGAGCATGGTGGGGGGGTGCTTTGCCTCACAGCAACAGGACCTCTGATAGCAGATCAGAGGTCCGTGTCTTTCTGCTTTCTCTTCCAAAACTCTAAATTCCCTCTGTCCAAAAACACGGATGTTCCTGACTCTGGGGGTGTGTGTGCACGGTCAGCTGGGACTGGAACTGACCGGGCAGCAAACGGCTGCTTTCTTCTTTCTGTGTTGGTGTGAAGTTGGACTTGGGAAATGGCTGATTGCGTCCAGTATTGCAGCTTCCTGTTGCTTCGTGGTTATTACGTGTCAGGGTTCCGGGAGCAGCTCGACCAATGAGCAGCCAGAGACGGAGCCACGCCCCCTCTCTGGCCTAACGGCCCCGCCTGTCCTTTCCCATGACACAGATTCAAAATGAGTTCATCCAACAAGGCTGTCTGAACTTCCGACTGGTTCCTGTGTTGTTCCCCAACGCAACCAAGGTAAGACGCTGTGTTTTTACGTCTATTTACACGGAGAGAGATGACCCCCTCAATCAGGAAGTGCTTTGAACAGCTAGTCAGGAAACTCATCAACTCAGCATGACACATTCTATTAGTGGAGAAAGCAGCATTATATTTAATTGCGTTGATTATTTTCTATCTTTAGTTTTAGAATTATATTCGTCTTTATATGGAGGACCACACATTCCAGACATGCCCTTTGTGTCTGGAATGTGTGAAGAAATTGACAATAAAGCTAACCTAAATACATTAATACAGTTTTCTACACAAATTCAAATCCATTCATAATAAGCAGATGTGGATATCCAGGTACAGATGAATGAATCGCTTTGATCACAAATAACCAAAGAACATGTTTTTTTTTTAAAAGAGCAAACCCCCTGACTTTATGTATCTGTGGGCCATCAGATAGTCTTCAGAGTCAGAACCAGTCTCAGCTTTAGCCAGACCATCGGCTGTATTTAGCGTTTATGTGTGTCACTTTTAACGATGCTTTTATTTTGGCATGCAGTTTTTGTGAGTGCTGTATTTTCCCATCATAAGACTAAAAGGACTACATAAGCATAATACAGTATAAATAAACATAATACAGTAAGAGTAGAATGCATTGTTTTTAGTGCTGTAACTGTGAAACAGCAGTCAGATTTGTCTTCATTTGCCTTGATGGATTATTAGAACATTTTTCATCATTTTGTAAATCAAAAATACCAAATGCTCAAATCGTTTTTGTCCTGTAATCAACATCTCAGCGCTGAGCTTGAGGGCGTGTTGAGGGAGGGCTCACCGGGTTAAAAGGACGATAACTTTCGGGTGTCTCGGCCTGCTGAGACTCGGTTTGGGTGTGTTTCAGAGACACGTGCCCGGCTGGCTGCAGAGCACCCGGATCTACCGCTGGCCTCTCGACACCCAGGACCTGCTGCTGCGCCTCCTGCGGGAGGAGCGCTACGTCCTGCCCCCGCCCAGCCCCAGCCTCACCCTCACCGTCCGCCCCCTCTGAGACCAGACCACCGCCAAGGGTAGGAGGAGAAGCCCGCATTCACAAAATCTCAAAACCTATTTGTTGGAACACTGGGATAGGCACCAGTTCTCCCCGCGACCCCATTAGGGAATAAGCGGTTACGATAATGGATGGATGAATAACAAAGAAGTAAAATAACTAAGTAGCACACTTTCTTATGGTCCTTTGCTTTTGGATTGATGGATGTACTTCACTGATCTATTCATGTCTCTATCTTGACCTGTACTCTCTACCAAAGATTGAAACAGACTTACAGATTTATCGAAAAACACATTTTACGGTACTTCCTGATCAACTGAATCCTTCACATACCTGTAAAAAGCTTTTAAATGATCGAAATAAACATTATGGCAAGCTTTGTTTGAGATTTGTTTGGCTATGCTTTGGGGGATTTTGGCATGAACGGATCTGGTATGTATGTGGGGGGTGCGTGTCACACTCAAGCCTCTCACCCAATATCAGCTTTGACTGGCTCCAGCCCCTCCTGTGACCCTACCAGGAAGAAGCAGCATGGATGTTAGATGAAGGGATAGAATATGATAAGTTTCTGGTCCCCATCAGCACCAGCAGGAAGCCGTGGAAGTGGGAGACACATTACGTAGCTGGAACTCATTACAGACAACAAAACTCACCTCTGATGACATCCATAAACGGAGCCAGCAAAGACTCTCTGCTATGAGGAAAAGTGAGATCTCTTTTGCAGGGCCTCAACCTCCCCTAAAGTCCCAAACACATACTCTGTGCTGCATCCTTCTGAGTCATTCTGAATCTGATGATGGATGGATGGAAATAACTCAAACATTAAAAACGCCACTTCTGCTCTAGGTCACATCATACTCATGTAAGAAAGGGTCCGTTTGAAAAAAAACAAGCATCTGGATCATGTAATTAACCTTAAAAGTTCATTTCTTCAACATGTTTGGTAAACTATGACATGAATGAATAACGGATGGATGGATGGATGGATGGATAGATGGATGGCTGTCCAGGAGGTGGCAGCATAGCACAACTTTAGCACTGACCACTGGCCACCCACTTCCATTAACCCTGTAATGGCAAATGTATCATATTTGATTCATACGGTTTCTGAAATGTTTTGCGTCTGACACCTTTTGCATAATTTAATGGTAAAAACTTTGCTCAAAATCCTATTGTACACAATCAGATACACCTGATAACAGGGGGGAGAAATATACACAAAAAACAATCTTTACTTATCGCATAGTAATAAATTATTAATATTAAAAGTGTTTTTCTGTTTTTTATTTTACAGATTTTGTTAAAAGGCCAAATGACGAATTAAAAAAAAAAAAAAAAAGTCATTTTCTGTTTTGTTTTGTTCTTGGATCAGGCTTTAAAGCGTTAATAATATCATATTTGGATATATCCTTGCAATAAGATCTAAACAATTTGATGTTACTGAGTGCTTTTACAGATGGCGTTGACAGGATATATGTAGGATTCTGGGCCATAAAGCATCCGTGCAGTGGAGCACAGGGAGTCTGAGAGCACACATCATGTCCACGATAAGCCGGCAGGGTTGGGGTGCACCTGTGGGAAGCGGCCATTATACACCTAATCGTTTCTGCTCTGTCAATGGAAACACACTCGAAAAGCCTGTTTATGGAGCACCACCATTACCCTGAGTGCACGTGTGTTTGTGTGCTCGTGTCCAGGGTTTTATTAGCCCTGTACCACAGGGTTTTTCTGGTGAAAGGCCAGGGCCAATAAATCCAAACATTTATGTTCCAGGACCAGCGAGCCACTCGGCCACATCTGGCCAGCCCCGGGCAGACAGATGTTGCTGCTTCCACAAAAATGCAGGCCGATTTTGTTTTTGTGTTTCCTTTTGTGTACCAATTATCCATGCCACTTAACATCCTTGAGTCATGTCCATTAAATAAATGGATTGGTTCCGAGCGCATAAGTTGATTTATCTCTAAAAAGGACATTTTATTGTTTGCCTTTGTTATGCTAAAAAGCAATTACTTATCTGATTTTAATATATTTTTGCTCCCACACTGCAAAGCACTACACATACAAAAATCAAACAAACGTGTAGGTTCTAAATGTGTTAATTTTAAATGTCTCCCGGACACACACACTTCAACCTGTGCAGAACCTGCTGATTTATTTGTGAAGGGAAAAAGAAAAAACAAAGAGCTCAGCACATCCTGCACACAGGCTGTCCAGTGGAATACAGAATAGTCTCTCAATGGGTAGAAAGTAAGAGGACAGCAGTAAAAAATAGAATTATTCTTGTAAAAATAGCAAGGCCTCAGATAATGATACTAGTAGGTTATACACGTTAAAGAACTAATAATAATCCCGAATGCATCTAGCTGCACTTTATTGGAAATGTTATTTGTTTTTTCATAGATATTGTTCCAGGGGTATTTTTTTATTTGGAGTATTTTTTTATTTTTTTATTTTTTTTACAAAACACCAAACACTCCCCCCGGAAGCTCAGAGAGCCATTTAGCCAATGATCACGGTTTTCCTAACCAGCGACCAATGAGTGATGGCTCCCAGCTCTGTGCTCTGTTGCGTTTCCCTGTTTTGATGCCAAATGTCCACAAGACTATTTCCGGTTTCACAATAAGACTCATTGATCTGAAAACAAAATCGCAAACAGTTCTCACAATGAGGTAATGTTCGCTTTAAATCCTTCTACCTATATTAATCTAAAAGCTATGCGTGTCTATGGTCAGAGAAAATTAGTATCAACCCACTGACTCTGAATCTTTAGTATGGCGTTTTTGTATTGATTATTCTGAGGTTGTCACAATGGATATTTTGGTAACTTTATTAATATGCAATTCCTACTTATGAAACAATACCTGATTAAACACTTAGACTTGAAATAAACACCAAAAAGACACATTAAAACTTGGTAGACATCATTTTTATTTACTTGTCTCATAAACGTAGCAATTACTTCTGTATTTATGATCAAAAACATTGCTATTCCACAGTAGTAAGCAGTCAGTGTTGTAGAAGTGGAAGTCGAGTCTTGGTATTTTCACAGTAAAATACATAGGAACGGCGTGCTTAGAAAACCTGGACTGTAGCGGAAATGCCTCTTTTGTTTTGAAAGGACTATTCGGATGCAGTGCTCTTCATTCCATGTAGCTTCCAGGATGTGTGTAGCTAACTATGTGTAGCCAGTTATGGAAGACGGGGAGCACTGGCTAAGGGGCTGTCTGATAAGCTAGGACTGGCTGGGACTAGTTCTCAGACGTGATTTGGAAAGATAACGCCACATACCGGAAGCCTTGGCAACGTCTTCCTGGCCCCCAAAAACAGTTACACCACAGTGAGGGCTAAAATCACGGAACTGATACGGTTACAAGTACCCGGCAAAGCCAGCGGCGGCTCTGGGCCACCCGCCCCCGGTGAGGGAGCTCTGGACCCTCGCGGTGGCGGCTGTCTGGGCGGGCGGAAGCCCCGGTAATCTTTGTTCGCCTTTTTTTTTTTTTTTTTTTTTCCCTTTTCACGGGATGCAGCTCAGCCTCCCCTCTCTCCGGTTGCCGTCGAGTCGGCGTCGTGACAACCCGACCTTCGGTTGGGTTTAACTGACCACCGCGGCCCCCCCCCCCCCCCCCCC